TAGGCCAATTGATCCTCGCAAATATTTCATTACTCGCCCCAGCTTCTTCCAGTCGTCTGTGTCCGGGTCAGTGACTCGTGTGCACAGAAATGCCACTGGAAGCTGTATATCGGGCCTTGCTCTCTTTGCGAGGAACAGCAGCTTGGCCGTATTAGTATGGAATGTTACCCGATCGGCCTCGCTGAGCTTGGTTGGATCATTCTCGTTCACCTCAAATAAATGATGACCGGCTGGAGTCACTGCCTCCCCAGTGCTCATATCTTCTGGTAGCTCATTCAGCATATTGTCAATATAATCATGCATGGTGAATTTCACCTTCCCGGGAGTGGAGAAGTCAATGGTCATTCCAAGATAGTCATGGATCCTTCCTCGTGTTACGACCAGAGGTGCCTCCTTCCCGTACACACTGTTAATTTGGTCCAATGTTGCGGTTACTACACTGGGATCATGGTGCGATATCTTGATATCATCCACATGCCACAGTATTGTGCACTGCTTCCCGTTAATCTCCTTGTTCATGACACACCAATCATACGGGTTTACAGTGAATCCCCACTCCGTGAGGTCGGTACTCAGTTTCAGCCAGAACAGCAATGCTGCATTTAGTGTACTGTATATGGCTTTAAGACACTTAACATAGAGGAACTTCTTCCCATTGGAATCCACCTTGATATACCGCTGGTACTTCCCTGGGGCTATTTCCGTCAGGAGATCCAGCATTACACCTCCGAGTTTGAGGTGTGTTTCTCCGCTCTCATCGGCCGTTTGCAGGAATGCACCTGGGATGTCGGCGGTTGCTACGTCCCGCTTTTCATAAGCATCGATCATGCAGGAGAGCATGAGTGCCTGGATGGACACAGTCGGTGATGTGGTGTCTTCCTTATTCATCCAATTTCTCTGTTTCCTCCCATCAGCACACCCCCTTCCCTTGATCTTCCCGCAACGCTTTTCTTTCAGGAACATCAAGTAGGCTAGCGCCTTTGCCTTTTGCTCTCCGTCTAGCTCCTCCGTTGCAACTGGCTCCACTACTTCACGATCATGCAGCTGCTTTAGTTCTGTCTTAATTGCATCAATACCGCGCTGTCCAAATATCTTGATTCCTTGTTTCATTCCGTACTGGGTTAGGAGGATATTATGAACCTGTTGGTAGAACGAGTTCTCGTCCTTGTTGAATTCGATCAGGGCGTCCAGCACCATAGCATACTCCCTCATGGCCTGTGTCTCCTTTCCCCGTACATGGTTGAGGTTATTCAGGAATCCAACTGTCTTTAGGTGGTCGTAGTTACGTTCGCGAACCGGTCGTAGCCCGCTACGCCGCTCGAGTACTGATTCCTCTTCATCATCCGGGTCTTCTTGCATTCCTTGGTCTGCAGCGATGATACTGCTCCCATCGCTACTAACATCGTGTTCTGGACCAAGTGAGGTCGAGTCTGCATCACCACTGGTGAGAGACCCCTCGTCTGCACTGCTGAGTGACCCCTCGTCAACATAGTCAGAATCGTAGGAGGAATCATCATTATCTTCCCCTCCGGCTGCCGGTTGCATCAGTTGTGGCTGTCCTTGTTCCGCAGTACCGGTGTCGCCGTCAGCTATTACCTCCCCAAGCCTATTCCGAAACTCAATCCCCTCTGGGTAGTTCCGTGCAAGCTCATGGACCCTATCTATTACATCATCCGGCATCGGCAGTGCCGTATATCTATTCCTGTTAATCACACGCCCTGTTTTTAGGCTGTAGAACCAGTGTCCCCCTTGCACATTCCCTGTTGGCCGCAGTGCAAGTGCACCAACAGTGCGGGGGTTACTCGTTGTGTTATCAGTAATCTCATGGGTTTGGACATACTCCCCAAACTGCAGTTTCATGTGCTTCAAGTAGTCTATGGATAAGCCAGTGATTATCTGTCTAGGACTCAGTGTTTGTGACACTCCTGACGGCTTCGGCAGGCAGTTCCACCAAAACACCTGGCTTGCAACGAGCTCTATCGTAACCCTTCCCGGCAATCTTTTGTAAGGGAGAGTGCACTGGATCCCTCCCACCCGCTCCTTGATAGTACGGATGTATCTCTCTATCTCTGGCACGTGTTCGTCCTGTGATACGAAGTTTGGCGTGATCCCAGTGCTCACGATGCTCGTCGCAAGTGGTTCAAACTGTGTATCCATGTTCATTATCCTGATAGTGAATCCTCGTTTGGAGTACAACTGCTGTATATCGGCTACGCACTCCTGTAATGTGCTGGTTTTAGCATTCAGTATCATAGCCACAGTACCAAACTGTACGTGGCGAGATATCGTTATAAAGAACCGAATTCCGTTTACATACATAATGTCCACTCCTAGTTCAATGTTTGAGTACCGATCGAGTATGGTCTGCGGTAGTGCTGTTATCATCACTCGGACGTGCTTCTCCGATCGCCGCACTGTCTTTCCTTTCAGTCCCACTATCGAGGGTCCCAGGATATCCTCTGCTGCCTGGATGTCGCTCCTTGTTACTGGACAGTTTGGTATTAGATTCCTATCGATCAGTTGCATCATTTCTTTGGTGGTGATGTTGAGCACTTCCTGCATCTTCCTTGCCTTATTCGCACGGCGTTGGTCAAGAGCTGAATATTTCGAGCTCCTCCCACTCACCGTCTCCACTGAATTATTAACAAACAGTGTCGAGTGTTGTCCCAGTGAAGTATAGTACAGTCCTGTCTCTGATTCCGTAAACTTACGGTACTTGGTTCCTGTGCGATCGTACATTCTAAACGTGTTATCGAAATCGCTATCGTAAGTGACCCTGTGGTGTTTCTTAATGCGGGATAGGGACAGGATATTAGCAATCCCATCTTTATGGTACCAGACTGTCCCCACTCCTGGAAAGTCACCGACAAAGTTGGTGGTAGCCACTCCTGCGTTACAGTATATGTACATCGTGTTGTCTATCTTCCGTATGTTGCGGAGGAGTGTTGGATTGCACAGTACATTGACTGTGGATTGGTTGTCTAGGAGTAACCAGTTCCGGTCCACTTTTCCTTTGGCTTGGCTGAGGATGGTGTTGTAGTTCACGCTAGGCGCGGCGATGTTGTTGTTCTTTCCTCGCACTTCCACTCCCCTAGTGCAGTACATCAGTCCGTAAGTTGGCTCCTGGAACAGGTCGACTGTTTTGGTGTAATTGATGTTGCACACACCGGATTCATTATTGCCCGTGGTGCTTACATCGGCGTCTCGTCGTTCCTCTGCAACGTTATCATTGGCACTTGTCTTTCCGCCGTTCTGCTGTTCGTATGCAATGACGTCTGCTGGTTTGCATACATTTTCATATGAATAGTGTCCTATTTTGCCGCACTTATAGCATTTTACAGTACTCCTGTCACGCCGTCGTGGCTCCCCGTTTTGCACGAACATAACTCCGTCGTTGCCGGTCCGTCGGCTGTTGTTGATACTACTTCGACTTTCCTGTCGGTAGTTGATGAGTATGTTCTGCGCCTCGGTCAGTGTCTCGGGATAGTTGTTTTGTCCAACTAGAAAGTCGTTCTCAAGCTTCTGCTTTATCCCGCTGTATCTGGAGTGATTAGCATTTTCCAAGTATAATGTGGCTTGTGTCAGTTGCAGGGCCTTTTTGTCAATGACAGCGCTTGTCGCCGGGTCCTTGAGGATGGACCTATCCCCTCCGTAATCCCTATCGAGGATGTATTCGTGTATTCCATCGATGTGCAGGTCTGCTCCGCATGCTGATGCTGACGTTACAAGGTTCTCAAACTGTTCAAACCACTCAACATCAGTTGTGAACTCCCCTTGTGTTGTCTTATATAGGTTTATGGTGGCTCTCAATGCTGCTAATGGTGGGAACTGTTGTGCCTCGTATTTATAACATATTTTCCTGATTATGTTCAGCAGTCCAATTGTATCGGATCTGTTATGAATGTGTTCATATGATCCGTCTGCTTGTATCTTTTGGATCATCGCATCAGTGCATTGGCCCCTCACGGTGCTGTACATCTTCTTCATATCATCCTCATATCTTAGTATTTTGATGGTGTGGCGCTTGGCCAGTTCTTTTGTTACAGTGAGTTCAATCTCATCCATCGCGTTGATGATGTCCTTTGTCATCCCCGCGGTTGGGCTGTTTGCTTCCATTATGTCACGGACGCATTCAATGTTGTCGATGGCCCGCCGGACCTCCGCCCCGTAGGTCATTCCTGCATACTCCACGAGCTCCTTTTTGGTCTTCATGTATCTGGATGCTTGAGTTGCTCCTACATCGAAGATATGTCCGGCTAGCGCATCGCATCTTCCTTTGAAGGCGTGCGTTGGTATTTTTCCATGTAATCTATTTCCTCTTCTTTTCTGCCGGGAACGATTGCCTCCCTTCCATGGGGCTGTTCCTTCTGGCCTTGTTCTTGTTGTTGGATCATCTGCTGTAACTGTTTCAGCTGATCTGTTATCTACCATGATTGAATATTGTGAGCTTACGCGATCCTACGTGTATCTGCTCCTGCTGCTGCTTGATTCTTTATAGTTTTATGTTAAATTCATACGTTACGTCATCGAAATCATTAAGTGTAGAAAGCCTAAAAGTGTTCTCCACCACTGTTGACTAGATAAAACTATAAAGAATGAGGAACCTGTCCACTTATCCTAAAATCACTAAATTCCTCATCTTGGTTCGCATTCCAAATATTACATATACACTCCAGTGGTCGCTCGCTCAATCTCGCTTATATATATAAACGTCTTCACAACTGTAAAAACATTGTCTTCGCCCGACGTCCGTTGGTCCGTTAAGTCGCCGGTTCGCCTTGTCTGTCCGTTCTTTGTTTTGCCACGTCTGTCTGTTGCCCGGCTGATTTGCATTGCTATCAACAAGTACCTTCTCGAAATACTACTATCTCTTCTTTGTCGTAGAAAAAACGAAACTTGGGATGGAGGCGTGTCGACTTTTTGTGACACCGGTACAAACTTTTGTATCTTACCCCTACCATACCTTACGCTCGATACTTCAACGTCGTTCAGAGATAATACGCTCCGGTTGACACAATTTCTAGTTTGAAAGCCAATGTACGAAAGTAAAGCAAACTCGCGTACGGCTACCGTGAACATGACGGGCGAAGTGAACGTAAACGAAAACGAGTATTCAGGTAGCGATTACGGTAACGCAGTCGGTGACGCCGAAGCAATTGACGCCGAAGCAAATGCATCGAATGGTTACGTCGGATCAGAATCTCCGTCGAAGGATGATTCGCTGAAGAACAACGATGATGACGAGGATGGAAATCTCAAACCTAGTGCCATCTGCGCCATAAAATACGTCGGTATCCCAGTCCAGGGCTTCGTAACTGGATTTATGGGATTCGGTTTGTATATGATGTTTGGTTTCATTTTGGGTCCTTGGGGAAGGGACTTGCCTACCGCAGAGGTGCTTTCAGCTACCAGTCTAATCAGCATATTCCACTCTTTCAGCATATTTTTTGGAATTTGGGTGGACTTGTTTCCAATCAGGGGACTTTCGTGGAAACCTTACTTAATTTTTGGATGGATCATCTTTCTTGCCTTTAATTTACCCATTGCGATCATTGGAGAGGCGATCGAAACGAATACACTGGTTATTTTATTTGCTTTGTCTCAGTTTGGTCTTCAGCTTTCCACCACAGCCGTGGAAGGATATCTTCCATGGATTACTTCGATGGAATCAACAAAAACGAAGGGTTCATTTCAGACCTTGAGAGACCTAATTATGACAGCTGGCGTACTTTGTGCCATTCTGTTCATATTTTTTGCTTTTTCAGGACCAAAATTCAATTGTCGCGGGTATGAACCAGACCCAACCGTCCCATGTACCACCGATGAAACTATGCGTCTACAAAATTCTCTCAGCGAATCGAATCCAGATGACTGGTGCCACATGAAATGTCCGGAGGCTATCTTAAACTATGACTTTAGTATCAGAACGGTTTATACTGTTTTGATTACGKTGATTCTGCTCTCATTGCCCTTCTGCTTTTTTCTGCGCGAGGAGAAGAAAACGAAGAAAAATATCATTAAAACTCTTGGAAGGATGTGGCGGGCATTGACCAAACGCTCTGTATGGCAGATTGCGTTGTACGCTCTAGTGCTTGGCACTTTAATGCACGTCGAAAACCCTGCTTACATGCAATTTTCAGCCAGTCATATATCGAATAGTACTTTCATGCAGATAGCGACTAACGTGCTTTCAATTTTGATGGTTTCCATAGTGCTTGGTGTGTTGGCGAAATATGGCCTTGGTTTTTCTTGGCATAAATTGCTTCTCATCGGAACACTACTGGATGCAGTTTTGGAGGTGCTCAGGCTTGCTTTTGTATTTGACATCGTCCGTTCCCCTGTCTTGTGGGTACTTGTCGATACGCCAAGAGGGTTTCTCACGATGTTGACATCCCTTCCAATAACTTATGCCGTCAATATTATTGCACAGGAAGGTCTCGAAGCAACAACGGCATCATTAATTTTGACGATGACTACACTAGCAGCTTTCTTGGCCAGACAAGTCATCTCGATGCCACTTCTTTCATTTTTCCCATTGCTTGCCTCCACTGAAAAAATATTCGAAGATAGCCAAGAAGTACGACTAGAATTCCTGAAGTTTGACTCAATTGCCATTTTGATGAAGTTGAGTACACTTTATATGCTTCCAATGTTACCCCGTCAAAGAGCAGAGGCAAAAGCCTTGAAGGACGAAGACGAACGTTCTCCTATATGGGGAGGGATTACTCTCTTCAGCACTTTAGTCCTGATGCTGTATTCCGCCTGTGTTGCTACCGTACCATATGCGATTCCAGGTGCAAGATGCTATAAATTACGTACGTTGACGAAAAGAAACAAGACATTTGGCTTCGAGTTGGAGTTCTAGTTGGCCATCTCACGCTCTCCTTTGCCATTCGTGCGTATTTTTTTTTCACATTCGCAAAATGGATTGATCAACCATTGCGAACAACTTTTTATGCCATGTCGCATCTTGTCACGTCGTATCTGAAGTGGGAGGTCAAGGCTGTAGCGAAGACTCGAATGATACAGCCTTGGTAATTTTACAAATTGTGATCATGACATCGTTTTGTTTTGTCATTCCGACGGTGTTGATCTACTGGCCTATTCTCAGAGGCAAAGCAAAATTTAGCCGGGATATGTACTTGTAAAAAATGGAAAGCAGGTCTTTTCTTGGCAAACAAGAAATCAAACTACCCATACAGTATGTGTATTTTGCAACTAAAATTGCATTATCGTAATTGCCCCCATGCAACGCAAAAACAATACTGAATAGCCCTACCCCATATATTTCTATKWACGGTGACCRATATYCCTCTTTTTGMAACAGTATACCAAAATTTGTGTGTAAATTAACTAACTAAAACAGTATTGCTTTTTTTCTTACTGGTGAGATTCTGCAGCGTTTTCAGTTGCATTTTCGAGCGTTGAACGTACGTRGAGTGTGCAATAATGCAACCACGTCATGTGGTTTTCATTCACACAAAAACTTGGACTGCGACTGCACTGCTGCAGCAAAGCACAATAAAGAACTGCAGCAGCAATAACAAAGAAMAGCAATAACAACAAAGAACAGCAAGCAAGATGACCCCCCCACAACCACCACCAGCCGACCGCCCTGTCCCAAGCTTGTATCGGATTGCACTTGACGTACGTGAGGAAGAAGAAGCAGCGCAGCAGCAGCAGCAACAACAAGGCGGACGCGGAGGACGCGTTACTGGAGGACGCGTTAGTACTACTGGTGGAGGACGCGTTAGTACTACTACTGGTGGAGGAGGACGCGTTACTGGTGTTACTGGTGGACGCGTTAGTACTGGAGGCGTTACTGGAGGCATTACTGGAGGCGTTGCTGGAGGCGCTGCTGGAGGCGTTTCTGGAGGACGTGTTACTGGTGGACGAGTTACTGGAGGCGTTACTGGAGGCGTTACTGGAGGACGCGTTAGTACTGGTGGAGGCGTTACTGGAGGAGGAGTTACTGAAGGCGCTGCTGGAGGACGAGTTACTGGTGGAGGACGAGTTACTGGTGGAGGACGTGTTACTGGTGGAGGACGAGTTGCTGCTGGAGGACGAGTTACTGCTGGAGGACGAGTTACTGCTGGAGGACGAGTTACTGGAGGACGAGTTAGTACTGGAGGCGTT